CAATTTTCAGAAGCTGTGAGCCCCTCCAAAGAGAAATATATATATATATATATTTTTTCTTTTTTTTTAAATCTGTGGAAGAGGAAATTAAACACCACCACATGGTCTGAACAGTCTGCCATTGGGGGAGAAACTGGTTTGAGATTTGTTTTCGAGCAGCCCACCCCAAACCTCTCTAGTTCATTTCTCCATGATACCAGGGAGAGTTCCATACTCACATTCTCTTCCTACAGCCCAGTCAATTTTTCTCAGGCAGGATTTAGAGGAGAGTGGAAAAGTAGGACTAGTCTCAGCATGTACACACACCTTTCCACACACAAGACCGAACCAGGAGACCATCAGAGACCACATCCCTTTACAGCAGGAAGGAAACTGAAATAGCATCAAATTCAGCGCTAGATCCTCTGAAGCAAGTCCATTCCCTCTCCCAAGGCCAGTTCACATGGGTATAAAAGTCCTAGATTTGGCCTACAATTTTAGGCAATGTTAATCCATAACTTGCTGCAAGGCCCATGAATCTTAGAGGGAAGAATTTCTTCCATGGATAGGAAGGAATGGGAGGAAAGAACAATGGGAGGAGAATAAAATTTTTCTTTGATCCACAGATTTCTCAAAATCTTTTATCAAGGACAAAAATTTGCTGGAAAATGTACTGCATTCTTAGCAACTATTTTTGCTTGGTTAATGTTTTCAGATAACCATGAAGGTAAGTAATTTATTTCCAAGTAAAATCCATCATTTCCACATACAATGCATAGGTTAGCGTATCCAGGGTTTGTGCTATCTTCTTGGTATGCTGCATTTATTTTAGCTGAAAGATATTTCAAACATAAACTCTAGGTAACTTAATGATTGCTTCCTCTGAAAGATTAAAAAAAAAAGTTCTATAGCAAGGACGTGATATAATAATCCATGCACAGTATAAATCCATATACTCATTTTAGTAGACACATGAAGGTAACTGTTACAAGTTGCTGTTGCTGTTCTGTTGCTAATTCATGCCCTGGTCTTTGGGACCCCATGGACTGCAGCATGACAGTACATTTGTCTTAAATAAATTTGTGAAGTTTCAAAAACAAGATAAATTTTAAATATTAAATATAATTTTTCTGATTGAAGTGTTCTGAGGGTATTTAAATTTCATGGTTATGAAGCAATAGAGAAAATAGTATGAAAAAGGAATGAGCCAGGTGTATGTACAGGATGGTTACTGATAAAATGAGACATGTGATAATGAAGGAAGATTGGAAAAAACTTTAATGTGTTATGGAATACGTAACAGGGAACTATTTTTCTATCCTTTCCTATCTACCAATTTTCCTGTGACATGATTTTGCCTTTTATCAAATGAAACAAAGATGTTTTAAAACTAACCAGGTTGAGCAGGGCCACTAAATTTTTATCTAGTCATTAATTCAAACAACAGCTACTAACCAGTTACTCAGTCCCAAATCCTAGAGAAGTACATCTAAAAGCTTTGAGTCTTTCGTGTGTGCTCAGTAACTCAGTTGTATCTGATTGTCTGTAACCCTCTGGACTGTTGCCACCCCAGATCCACTGTCTATGGGATGTTTCAGGCAAGAATGTTGGAGTGGGGTGCTATTTCCTCCTCCAGGGATCTTCCCGACCCAGGGACTGAACTCACTATCTCCTGTGTCTCCTGCAGTGCAGGTGGATTCTGTACCACTGAGCCATCGGGTAAGCCCTTGATTCCTTCGTTTTCAGAAAACTCTTTGCAGAAGAAAATGTTATCTCTCATTTGTAGATGAGGAAACCTAGACTCTTGAGTAAATCACAAACCCAGTAAGAGACAGAATTGACAAAGATACATGCTCCTTTTTAATCTACCATATTTTTCAAGTTTTTGAAACTTAGTGCTACATTACTTTGTAGTTAAGACCAATGGGTTGGACTTTCCTTGTGGTCCAATAGTTAGGAATCCACCTTGCCAATGCAGGGGACATGGGTTTGATCCCTGCTCTGAGATGATTTCATATGCTGCAGAGTAACTAAGCCCTCACACCACAACTACTGAAACCTAGAGTCCATGCTCTGCAATCAAAGAAACCACTGCAATGAGAAGTCCTCATACCACGACTGGAGAGTAGCCCCCTGCTTGCCACAACTAGAGAAAGTTCACATGCTGTAATAAAGACCTAGTGCAGCCAAATAAATAAATAATTATTCAGTGTGACTCTATTCCCTATGGAGCAACACTGATGGTGGCCAGTGGAGGAAAGTGTTGAGGGTGGTAGAGGGCAGTGGTGGGGACACTGAATACCTTATCCTTATTTGTTTCCTCTAATATCATTCACTAATGTCAGATTTCCTCTAATATCAGTCCCTTGGACTGCAAGGAGATCAAACCAGTCAATTCTAAAGGAAATCAGTCCTAAGTACTCATTGCAAGGACTGATGCTGAAGCTGAAGTTCCAATACTCTGATCACCTGATGCGAAGAAGTGACTCACTGGAAAAGATCCTGATGCTGGGAAAGACTGAAGACAGGAGGAGAAAAGGATGACAGAGGAAGAGATGGTTGGAGGGCATCACCGACGCGATGGACATGAGTTTGAGCAAGCTCCAGGAGTTGGTGATGGACAGGGAGGTCTGGTGTGCTGCAGTCCATGGGGTAACAAAGAGTTGGACACGACTGAGCGACTGAACTGAACTGAGTATCATTCACTAACTCAAGATACATTAGCACCTGATGTGAAACTCTAACAGAGGAGAACAAACCTGACTTCATACCGGACCGTGTCTGCTAGCTCTAACCCTGTGTTCTATCGCTTGTACTTTACTGCCATGCTGGCTGTGCACCTCTGCAAAAGAACCTTGCCTGTAGCCTGAAAGATGCATGATAGCGCACTTTCAAGGCTCTTCCCTAAAGGGCTTGACCTTTAAAGGTAAAACACTTCCATTCAAAGAGATATAAAAAGCCACAGACTAGAAAATGACAATTGCCTTATCAATAGGAACATGGTGACCACACCTACATGGACAGCTGCAAGAACAAAGAATTCCAGCACCCAGAAGTTTGCAACAACCAGCAGCTCCCTCACCTTTTAGGATAAAAGAAACCTGAATTCTAACAGAGGTAAGATGGTTCTTTGGGACACAAGTCCATCATCTGGGTCTTGAAGCTTTCTGAACAAGGCTGCAATTCTTTGCCCCAACACTTCCTTTCTGGATTTATTGTCTTGTCACACTGAGGAGCAGTACAAACTTGAACTCGGTAACAAACCACAATTTTAGAAGATCATGCAAAATTTGACATTATAGAAAGGATGTAGTTCTTGTCTCAGTGGAATCTTTTTGTATGTTTTTCCCTTCTGTTTCCTGAGACGGAAAGAGGGAGAACAGTAAACAAACTCAATGGATTGAGCTCTGTGTGTACCAGGAAGGTTAAGAGTTTCAATATTTAATAGGTTTGTGGAGTGACAAAATAGTTTGATAATCATTTGATAACTTTTGAAGAGGAATTTTTTAAAGTCCTTTTCAAAGAAAGNGAGCTCTGTGTGTACCAGGAAGGTTAAGAGTTTCAATATTTAATAGGTTTGTGGAGTGACAAAATAGTTTGATAATCATTTGATAACTTTTGAAGAGGAATTTTTTAAAGTCCTTTTCAAAGAAAGGTCTGCATAATACTATGACTATAACCACATTTATATAATGCAATATAAAATGTGTAACTTTATTCATAAATCAACATATTTACAGCTTAATTGTGAGGAAGGGGCATACCCAGATGGCATTCTGACTCACTTATTTAAAGGCCAAAATGTATTTGTAATGGACAGTGACCATACAGTATGTAACCTCTAAAGGGGGAAAAACACCAAAATTTAAAAATTGTCATCATTCATCTTATCCTTTATTTGTCCCTGTGCTTTTCATTTTTTTTCTCCTGGTATTTTCCACAGCAGAGTATTTACAGACCAGGTTTTGGAGAATTTAAAAGGCTTTGTGCAAAATGAAGCAGGCACCATCCTGTGTCTATCTTTCATACGTACTCTTTGTAGGACTAAAAAAATATGGAGAAAGCTTAAAATAGCTGACATTCAACAGTGATGCTACCTAAATCTAACCTGTGCTTCCCTAGGGAGGTAAAAAGGGGAAAAAAAGCACAGGAACAAAAGCATCAGCGAGTATTTTACCATAGGATAGCTATTTAATTGAAAACCATAGCCTATTTTTGTGACTCCCATGGATAACTGACATACAAACTTGTCTCGCCTCATTCTTCTCTCATAATAGTGACCTGCTGAAGCATCACTGTCTGGCTAGAACACATGTGCCCACCACTGCCACATATATTTGAGAAATCATTTATCTCTCACTAGTTTCCCCATTTAAATAAACTGCACATGTGACTTGCTGTCCCTTATTGTTCTGTACTTCCCTCTGGAGGTCATCACTCTTCACCCGTGAGCACCCACTGGCGAAGCTCTCTGTCTAACCTTGTTGACTTCTCCATATGTCATCAGCATGAATCAGTTTACTACTGATTTTGGGGTTGCAAGATATTAATGTCTGCTCCTCCTCCTGGCCCCTCAATTTCTTTGCAGCTGCAAATGTTGGGCTGTATGCATTATGAGGGCCAAAAGCACCTCCAGGAATTGGCATCGTGGGTGGGAACATGAAAAAGCCAAAGCCAGGAGAGCTTTACCTCAGAATCTAAAGGCTTTTCAAATAGCTTCTGTCTTCTAAATTCAGGTTCTTTCCATGACTTTATTGAGAGCATTTTCAAGACTGATGTGAAACGAGATACAGTCAATATTTTCTGAGATTATTTCTAGACTGCTTTGCACACAGAGCAAGATAATGTGATCTGAACTTGCTTTCCCACAAAATCACTGACACACTCTATATGTGTAGATAAACTATGTGTAGGGGTCCTATAAGTCTGATTCTATGTTCTTTTTAAACACTTAGTTCAGAGCCTTGGGGAGCTACAGTACCACTGAGAGAATAAATCACTCAAAAGTCATTTCTACCTACCTTAAATGGTTGTTTCTAGATCTTGTTTGTTTGTCTGTTTAAATAAGGCTCTTCACCACTTGACCTGAATGGCATGCAGGGTGCTCAGTCCATCTCCACTTATAGTTGTGCTCCAACTAAACACATCCCAAAGATTTTCCCCTCTAACGTGTCCAAGAAGACATTCTGCCAAAGGAACAAACACAAACATGGTATATTTGGCAGATACGTTGAATGCTATATGTCTTTCTCTTGGAGATTAATAGGAACATTATCATATTTAAAATGTGTACATACATGCAGATATACATACTCAGTTTTTATATAACATCTATAATACCCCATAGCTGCTGCTACTGCTGCTGCTAAGTCGCTTCAGTCGTGTCCGACTCTGTGCGACCCCATAGACGGCAGCCCACCAGGCTCCGCCGTGCCTGGGATTCTCCAGGGAAGAACACTGCAGTGGGTTGCCATTTCCTTCCCCAATGCATGCATGCACGCTAAGTCGCTTCAGCCGTGTTCGACTCTGTGCGACCCCATGGACAGCAGCCTACCAGGCTCCTCTGTCCACGGGATTCTCCAGGCAAGAATACTGGAGTGGGTTGCCATTTCCTTCTCCAATATACCCCATAGAACTAGTATTTAATGAAGCCCCTATTTCTTATCACCGTATATTATTTAAGGGTCAAAATCAAAGTCCTTTTCTTTGCTCTCAGAGTCACCAAACCACAACCATCAAACAGGGATCTCCAGGGGTTTACGGCTCATTCATTTTTGTATCACCACACAGTGCTCAGCACACAGTTTTACTTAAGAGTCAGTGATCACCTAATATTTAATGATTACGTGGATAAATGCATTCGACACTGACTGGAGCTTAGAAATACACATTTTATGTGAGAGAAATGCGTTTAGTTACTAAATTCATCAAACTGGACTTCTGTATGTATTTTTAAAAACGCAATGGCACAGGGGAAAAAACAGTTCTATAGCATGCCGTCATGCCATAGAACACTCCATCATTCAAATCATCTACCATGTCCTTTGTTCATAAGCCACACTAAAGTCTAAACTATGTTTCCGAGAGTTTGTGCATCTGCTCCTAAATACTTGTGTCCTAGTTGAGTACTTGGATCTGTCTTATTTTTAGCACTGCAGAGTCATAAAACCTCCCAGTGGAAAGGAACACTTTACAGTCAAGACAGACCAATGGCTTCATTTTCTAGATGAGGTAACAGAGTCTCAGATGGTTCACAGGACCTGCCCAAGGTCACATGGGAGAAATTTTCAAAGAGGTGCTTTGTACTTTTCCCTGTGTATCCAACAGTCTCTGGCATATTTAATAAGAAATATGACATATTAATTAATTATATTCATAATAAAATTTTACAAGCTACTTTTATATAGACCAACCTTAGAAGTCTACTACCTCAAGACTTAATAGAAAGGAAAAACTTCCTCACTAATTAATTATGCTACTGTGTAACTTACTAAGAAATGATACATAGCAGGTCTAGCCTGCAAAAGAAAATCAGATAAAGTGATGAGTGGGTGTCTATGAGGGCTTGTGAGATTAAAGGCAAAAGTGATCCAGTGTTTGTAACAAGAATGTTCTCAGTTCTACACGACCTCACTTCATCAGAAAGTTCCACTATAATTGCTTAAAAGGGACACATCTGACACTCAAAGTTTGAATTGAAAGAATGAGAAAATGTGAAGATGAGAAAGTAGTTTCAATATTAGTATTGGATGGAGTAAATGTTGAATAAATGTATTATGTGAAACAAGAGTAGTTAAAAAGATCAAAGACATGGTGATTATTCAGCAGCTTAAAAACAATTTATAAGAAAAAAATGAAAAATGTGAGAAATGGACAAATCATAATAATTATTATACTTTTAATATAAATCTCAATCTTTCAAAAATTTAAAAATGAAGTAAACATAGAGTTTTTAAAATTAAGGTGAGCAAGAGTAACCATTCAATGGTTAAACAGACTTTTTACATGCAGAGTTAAAAAAATTATTTTGTAATTTTCCTAGAACATGGACATAAACCAATTGTATAAGAGAACACTGGAACATCTCAGTATATTCCAAGAACTAGAAATGTGAAAGCCATGTTCTCTGTAACAAAGGAATAAGATTAGGAATGACTAGCAAAAATTTAACCAAAAAGTTACAGGGAAAGAAGGGAGACACTTTGAAGACTTTTAATTTTATTCTCAGAATGTGAGTTAAAAGGATTCATGTATTTACAAAGCCAAGACAGATAGTTGAAAATAAGCTGTTGTCAGAAATGTACACAAGAAAAAGAAAAATTTTGAGAGCCGACTTTAAAGTGAGGCTATAGACTTGATACTGCAGAAAACTGCATCAATGGGACAAAAGACAAACAGGACAGAATCCTAGAATTTGATGGAGAAAGCTAAAGAATAAAAATTAGAGAAGCATAAGAGTTATGGAGGACTTATCATCTTTTGGATGATACATCCAAAAGATCCCATCCAGTAGGTCAAATTCCTAGCATCCATTTCTAATCAAAACTCTTTGGTAATGAGAGTAGAGTTCTTCTTACAAAACTGAAGAACAGTTTAGTGAAATTGACACCAGTTCAAGTTACAGGGCAGCATGCTAAAAGCACTGGGCTTCCCTGGTGGCTTGGACAGTAAAGAATCTGCCTGCAAAGCAGAGAACCCAGATTCGATCCCTGGGTTGGGAAGATCCCCTGGAGAATTCCACGGACAGAGGAGCCTGGAGAGCTGCGGTCCATGGGGTCGCAAAGAGCGACACAGGAATAATACTGAAATGTTTGACTTCAAAGGTGTATTTAGGAATATTCAAGATGTTTGGAGAATTAAGGAGAAAGTCAATATATGTTAAAAAATATCATGCTAATTTTATGGACAAGAGTATTTTCCGTGTCTCTCAATTCCTACAGATTCATGAGCTAGAGACTGAATACATGAGACCTAATTGTCTCGAGCTCAGTCACACCTAGGCTCCAGTTTGTGTAGAGGTAAATCACAGGGATGGGCTCAATGAGCTTAACTTCCTTTCTAGCTGTCACTGTCAGTAAGCCTGAGACAACTGCTATAGACGTCCACATCTACCTGAGGTGGAACACTGACTGTGACCACGCCATTTCCTGTTTTACTCTGATAATCATGTTTACTGAAAGTTTATCATGTGTCAGACATCATTCTCATCATTTAATTCTCACAACAATACTTTGAATTGAGTATTAGGGATATCTCATTTTTTTTTAGATAAGGAAAATGAGGCTCAAGGAGTTAATTGGCAGAGGCCACCCAGCCAGAAGGTGTCGGAGATGTCCCTCTAACTGCCCTGAGCCGCTGGACCACATGGCTGCCTCTGGTGGTGTTTCTTAGGATGATTTTGCCTCTCGATGTCACCATGCTCCCTACTGGCTCTTTTTGCATGAAACCCTGTGTCCCTGTCATCCTGGTTTTCTGGCATTTTCTTCTAGAAGGACATAAGATTGTGGATCTCAGAGCTACACCTGCTTGAGTAAACGGGCTAGACACATGTACCCATTCCCAGTTATTGTTTTACAACTTGGACGTCTCTCAGAGGGGCTGGGGTTTTGCTCAGGAAATGAAAAAAAAGAGAAGAAGAAGAAGAAGAAGAACTCAGCATTTCCAAAATTGTATTCTGTGAAACATCAAGTAATATGAATTTTAAATTGACATTTCATGGAAATAACAGAGCTCCATGTTCAATAAAATATAGGTAAAATACGAATTATGTAACATTTAACCGATTTACTTGATTTTTTAATATTTATTAAGTTATTTGCTGAGTCTCAGTTGTGGCATGTGGGATCTCTTGTCGAGGTGCAAGGATGCTCTGGTTGTAGTGCCAGGGCTCAGGAGCTGCAGCGCGCAGGCTTAGCTGCTCTGCCGTGTGTGGGGTGCTAGCTCCTGACCAGGGATTGAACCCAGGTCCCTGCACTGCAAGGCAGATTCTTAACAACTGGACCACCAAGGAAGTCTCTAACCATTTTTTAATAAGACATTTTTCAAACCGTTTACCATGCTCATGTATGTGTGCATGCATGCTAAGATGCTTCAGTCGTGCCTGGCTCTTTGTGACCCCATGGACTGTAGCCCAGAAGGCTCCTCTGTCCATGGGGATTCTCCAGGCAAGAATACTGGAGTGGCTTGCTGTGTCCTCCTTCAGGGGATCTTCCTGACCCAGGGATTGAACCCATATCTCTAAAGTCTCCTATATTGGCAGGTGGGTTCTTTACAAATAGTGCCACCTGGAAACCCATGCTAATGAATACCACACTGAATTTCTTAGGTGCTTTATGCAATATAAACTTTATTTTACTTATTAAAGTAAAATAAACTTTATTTTACTTATTAAAGTAAAATAAACTTTATTTTACTTATTAAAGTAAAATAAACTTTATTTTACTTATTAAAGTAAAATAAACTTTATTTTACTTATTAAAGTAAAATAAACTTTATTTTACTTATTAAAGTAAAATAAACTTTATTTTACTTATTAAAGTAAAATAAACTTTATTTTACTTATTAAAGTAAAATAAACTTTATTTTACTTATTAAAGTAAAATAAACTTTATTTTACTTATTAAAGTAAAATAAACTTTATTTTACTTATTAAAGTAAAATAAACTTTATTTTACTTATTAAAGTAAAATAAACTTTATTTTACTTATTAAAGTAAAATAAACTTTATTTTACTTATTAAAGTAAAATAAACTTTATTTTACTTATTAAAGTAAAATAAACTTTATTTTACTTATTAAAGTAAAATAAACTTTATTTTACTTATTAAAGTAAAATAAACTTTATTTTACTTATTAAAGTAAAATAAACTTTATTTTACTTATTAAAGTAAAATAAACTTTATTTTACTTATTAAAGTAAAATAAACTTTATTTTACTTATTAAAGTAAAATAAACTTTATTTTACTTATTAAAGTAAAATAAACTTTATTTTACTTATTAAAGTAAAATAAACTTTATTTTACTTATTAAAGTAAAATAAACTTTATTTTACTTATTAAAGTAAAATAAACTTTATTTTACTTATTAAAGTAAAATAAACTTTATTTTACTTATTAAAGTAAAATAAACTTTATTTTACTTATTAAAGTAAAATAAACTTTATTTTACTTATTAAAGTAAAATAAAC